GTAAATTTTAGCTACTTTTAAAGGCATTCTTATGTTTGTTTGCACTTTTTCTACCAAATCTCTTTATTGCACTCTAATAAGAAGATAAAAATTCAAAGAGGCCGAAAAGATGTTCAATTAACTGTTAATAAATAACATGGAAAAATCGAACGTTCGCGACCCGTACGTTCGCGACCGGTACTTAATTCAATAAAAAAAAAACAAATGAAGATATTTCCTTGGAAACGCACGATAGAAAGCTACATGAATCCATTTTAAAAGTAAAGTTATTGCTTTAGAATATTCCGTCCCAATTCGCAGATCGTTGCACTTTTTTATATTAATCCAATGTCGACTTCAATTTTGTGTACGTTCGCTACCGCAAGTTTTTTGCTAATATTATGAAAATGATACCTCAATAAGCCCCATTATTGACACTAAGCAAAAAGCTAACAAAATGCTATCAAACAGCAAAAAAAAATTTTGAAAACGTTTTTTTTCGTTTTTTTTTTATTTGCTCTAAGTGCGTAAAAACGTACGTTCGCGACCCCTGGTCGGAGCTGGCGAGCAACTTCGATGGCTTGTTCGTACACATGTAAGGCGTTCATTATGTCTTGTGAAGTATCGGTTCCTGGTTGTGCCTTTTATAGAGGAATCGGGGTAGTTCTGATAACGTGTTCCACTCATCATGTGATCGGGACCTTCTATCAATTCGAGCAATCCTGCAGCTCTGAGTTTATCGCCTTTTGGAGTCGTCGGATTACGTTCAGGGGTTTAGGCGACATACAGGCCTTTAGCATGGAATACCCCGACACTTTTCCCCACTGCATTGCCCAGCTCAAATAGCGCTTTGCCCTTACGCTGGAGTACAAAACAGCGATTTCGATTCGGACCAAGCTTGGTATTATATCCATCAGCTTTGTTACTACGCCTGTAGTTTTTCCAATAGACAACTTGTCTCGCGGAAAATTCCACGATCTCCCTACGGGTGATTAATGCCTTTTCCGCGAGTTCATGAGTTTGGTTTAGTCCCTGGGATGAGTTCCATCTTATCCGGGAGGCTTATTTGCGGATCTCCTGTCTGTTTTCCCCCCAATTTCTGTAAGATTGGATATGCTGTTCCATGGGTAATCCTTCGCGTCCCGAACCTGGCATAATACGGTTCCATGTCTATCGACTCGTGCATGCCATTCCTAAGGGCACACTCTGTTCGACTAAGTATCCCAATGTCGCTGATCGGTGGCAATTGTTGCTCGCAGAATTTGGAGCACCGATCGGTTTACCCTCTCAGCCGCTTTTACTTTACGTGTCGAATACCATATCATTAGCTCGCCAAAAATTTGAGACACAAATGTTTTCCGTTGTCAGGATGTATGAACTCGGGAACCCTATACTGATGAAACATTTTGGTCTAGAGGAATTTTATGACCTCGAAGACCAAACATCTTTGGAGAAGTTGTCCAGGCATACAAAAATCACCGAGTTCCCAGCTTTGGTTCTCGGATATGGTGCCATAAAGTCGATGAACAACCTCTGGCCAGCCCGTTACGTGACTCGCAGTTCTCCCATGGTTGGTCGGTCTTTTTTTTGCCGGTCTTGGTGACTTTACAGACCTCGCACTCCTTCAATACTTTTTGTTCATCTACCGCCAACCCTGGCCAATAGTAAAACTTCATCATTTTGGCTAGTGATTTGTGCAAACCCCCATGCCCTGCGGTTATGGCATGATGTGCTCTTCAGACTAAATCGGTGCGCAGCTTGGCGGAAACCCAGAGCTTCAATGTTCGGGCTTCATCAACGGCGTCGTGTAGGCAGAGTCCCATCCGTTTGTAGACATAGCCTTCCGATGTTTGAAGGTCTGGACATTTTCCTAAATCTTGGTCCACCGCCTGAACTAGTTTGATGTAATTTGACGATTGGAACGCCATCGAGTCGAGTTTGATGTATATGTCAATTTCTTCCGCGCCAGCCTTGTGCAGCTCATCCATATGAACTTGTAAGAGAGCATCTGGAACTACATTGCGTGATCCTTTCCTGTGTTCTATGGTGAAGTCGAACGCTTGTGGCTTTACAATCCATCGCGCTAACCTACGTCTTTTTGACCCATCAGTTATACCTTTCTAAGGACATATAGCACAAGCCTGTAGCTTAAGTAGTTCGCAAGCTACGGGTGTACAACATTTAGGTATTTAAAGCTGTTTTCTCGCCAAACTAGTCATTTTTTCCAAAAGTGGTAGATCTAATGTTTCTTATATTGAGCTGTTTAACATCGTTTTGAGTTTTCCGGACCCTACAATAACGTTTGGGGACAAAATTGCCAGCGGACAAACTGACAAACAAAAAAAATTTCATTTGAGAAGTAACCCCAAAATCTTGTTTTGGGTATTACTTTTGAACGAAGCATGAAATTTTCATTGGACGCCTATTTGAGAATACAACTGTGTCAGACTGTGTCAGACTGTGTCAGACTATGTCAGACTGTGTCAGTCTGTGTCAGACTTTAAGTCAACTTCAACAACTAAAAAAACTTTCGACTCATCACTGTGGACGACAGGCCACGTAGTGACGAAGCGCCCCAGGAGGGTGTGCGAAGGCGACTACTATATATATACGAGGAATTAAAATCTACTGTGATCGTCAGATTGTTACGAGTGATAACTCAATTGAAAGGTATTGCAAAAACTAAAAGGATTGCATACCAAGACTTTAAAAAGAACCAATTTGCTTGGGAGAAAGAGCGGTAAAGTGTAAAAGTGTAAACACCCCCGCGTAAATTCGCGTCCATTGTAAATCGGATGCTCCGTTCAAAAGTAGTACCCAAAACAAATTTTGTGGGGGACTTCTCAAAATAAAAATTTGTTTTAGTTTGTCAGTTTGTCCGCTTGGCAATTTGTCCCAAAACGTTATTGTAGGGTGCTGAAAACTCTAGACGATGTTAAACAGCTCAATATAAGAGTCATTAGATCTACCACTTTTGGAAAAAATTACTAGCTTGGCGAGAAAAACAGCTATAAATACCTCAACGTTATACACCCGTAACTTGCGAATTACTTAAGCTACAGGCTTGTGCAATATGTTCGTTAGAAAGGTATTTTGAAGTACTTTGTTTTACCACCATTTACTAAATATGGGAAAAAGTTTTTTATTCAGACTTTTAGCTTTCCTTTCTGAATATGCATACTCTACCCTTAACTGAAAGTGCTCGCTGCATTAAATACGAGCTTAAATTAATTGACTATCGGAAATTATAATTAGAGCAGCACAAAAATATAATTTAACAATTCACTCTATAACAAACCAACGACCTTTTGATATATTATTTAAATAATCAAACGTGATCTAACTTCAAAATTTTTGAAAACATGCTTAAGAGAAAATGTTACATTTGTTACATTACACGTAGGAAAAGTAATCTACGATAAGAAACACGGAGAAAGACACAAGCTAAATTTTAGATATAAAAAACAAGTAGTTAAGGAAACATTCCTAATAAAGTTATTATAAATAACAGAAACCGTACGATTCATAAAGATAATATTAATTAATTTGTCTAAAATTCCAGATAATGATTTCAATAATGTACTTATTATTGCTGGTAGCCAAACCAAACAACCAAATCAGAAATCAAGGATACCAAAGAGGTTCTTATTTATGAATCATACGCAGAATTATTTCATATACTAATAAAAGTTTGAAAATTTATGTATTTAATACTAAAATTCTGAACAATGAAGACATTCTAGAAATTTATAAACATGAACCAAATCCTGTAATTATAACTGACCCTATTGGATATATCTGAATTTAAAATTCGCTTTGCACCAAGATCTTATAATAATGTACATAAAATTCCCTATTATTACCGATAGTTGTGACGTTTACAATTTATTATCCATTTCGCATAACGATGGAAAATTATTAATTGATAACCACGTCTGAAGTTCAAATAAGTATTACGTAATGTCTAATTTTAAGGAAAGAAATATTTAATAATTACGTAATGGTAATTTAAAGAAGAAATATTTAATAATTAGTGCACAAAACACCTGAAGGTTCTTGTTAAGCCAGATAAACAAATGGAAGTCGCCATAACAAGATATAGGTGAAAAGTGACTAAGTATAAACGGCCAAAAGAGACAAACAAATTAAATTATTTTGTCTTAGACCTGCGCATTTTTAAACAGCAATTCACAACAATGCACAAACAAAAAACTCACTTTTTTAAAACATTTTCTTCTACGAGGTGTTAAAAAAAAACGCGCGACTAGAAATATAAATGAAGTCGACCTGAAGAAAACGAATTTCCTGCAAAATCGTGCAATGTTTTGTTTTTTTCAAAATTCTAAATGATAGGCAATGGTGGTCATTTGGGGTCAAATGCCACTACAAAAGAAGTTTGATAATGAAATTTTTTAATTTTTGAAATTGGACAAAAGGAAACAGCGGCAAAATTTTTAAAGCTTTTATTTTTTTTAAATTCTACAAGGGTGTCAATTGTGGTCAAAGAGTAGTCAACCGATTCCACAACAAAATATAAAAAAGATATATTTTCCATTTTTGAAAAAGTGTCATATTTTTAAAGTTTCAAACGTTTTAAAATATTTAAAACGGGCTATTATGTCATTTGGAGGTCAAACGATTCTCGTTATCCAAAATTTAAGTTTTACCCGGCCAGTTAATGAGCTCCAGTAAGAACATACAAAATATTTTTGACTTGGTCGTATGTTTAAGATACAAATGTTACTCCATTTACAATTCAGAATTACCCTACCAACAATCAGTGCAATCCAATAAAATGATAGTTTAGCTTAATAACGGACCCTAATGTACATGGTGCAACTCGTAGAAAATCATTAATAATCTATTACTTTATACAAAGGAATCGAGTACAGGACACGTTCACGGAGTGCAACGCCAGACTCACTAGATTCTATAAAGGTCGATGAAGTTTGGACAAACAGTTCTATGTAAGATAGTTTTAATTTTGCACATGACTTTAAACTAATAATTTATTTTAATAGACCAAGTTTGTAAGTAATTTCGAAAACATTAGTGAAACTAATTGTAGCAGTGGAGAACAATCAAAAGGAAAATACTTGAAACAAAACTTACAACGAACACCCAGCGCGCCGCTTAAAAGTACCACCTACGCGGACATATTTCGAGGCTCCCATGCCCGATGTGATATCCTTTGTATTCAACGCATGGTGTGGAGTTGCTGGGGTATTCTCGGATTGGAACCATACATTTGCCACGAAACCGATCAAGTCAGATCCATTTTGCTCAGTTGGGTGAGTACTCTAATTTTTGTTTGTCGGTAAATACATATTAAAATGTTTTTATATTTCAGGCAAGCACGTAAAATGTTATTGCGGGATTCGCGGAGTGAAAATAAAACATTATGTCGTCAAGAACTACTAAACTCAGAACAGCAGTCTGTACGACTTTCTCCCATGCCTTATGATGGCCTCAGTTTTGAAAGCATTTCTCGAGATACCTCTGGTCTTGATTGCGGTGAAACTCTAGATGATCATAATACTTCTTTAAAACTATTCACAGAGATATTTTTATTAAGCCAAATTGACCTTAAACGCTTACAGGCAGTACTTTGGTTAGAATTGGCCACAATATTTGATCGTTATGAAGTGAGTTTGGATAAAAGGAAGCCGTTTAAGCGTCGCCGCAAAGAGGAGGGTAATCTCTTTGGTGTATCTTTAAATGCACTTATACGTCGGGACCAACAAGTTACTGGCACTGACTCTACGTTAGTTCACATTTTTGGAAAAACTGCTAACCGAACTTTTGCACCGCGGCTCTAGAGAAGAAGGAATACTACGTATAGGTGGACACAAGCAAAAGGTTATAAAGATGTTAAAGAAAAATAGTTTTCTAAATCTAATTTAATTTATTTTCAGACTGAAGTACTTTATAAAGAATTAGACTCAACCTTTTATCAAAAACCCGAAAAGTCAGCTCATCTGCTTGGAACAGCTACGGTTCACGAACTAGGCGGTCTGCTAAAGCGCTGGTTGCGTGAACTTCCCCAACCTTTACTTTCTACCGAACTTATACAATTATTTTATCAATGTCACAGACTTCCATCCATGGATCAAAGAAATGCATTAACGATTGTATGTCAACTACTGCCACCTGAAAATAGGAACACATTGCGTTCTCTGTTAAGATTTTTAAACAATATTATTGACTTGAAAGATATAAACAAAATGGACCTGCATAACGTATCTACAATAATTGCTCCATCATTTTTTCCACCACGATTTATTCACCCGAGTGACAGAACCAGCATTGCTGAGCAAGTAAAAGTGGCTGCACATTGTTGCCGTTTGACGAAAGTTTTAATCTTGCATGGTGATAAACTTTTTCGAGTACCAAATAATCTAATTATAGAATCCAAGACTAAGAAAACGAGAATGGTATGTTTTGAGCTTGATTTATAATTTCAGTTTAAGGACATTGTGTTTTTATAGGCTAAAAAAGAATGGCTTCGGCGAGATAGTCTCAATAAATGAAAGAACACCTAATACAATTCGAATCAATACCTGTAATGCAGCGGTCGGCAGCTCAGCCTCAGCGGGACACGTACATCGTAGAACAGCAGCCGCCCCACACACAACGATAAGCTGTCCCGTGCAACTTACTCAGACATTTAAAGAATAAAATGTCATGGCATTTCGTGCCGGCCACTGCTTTATTGGCAACGGTCCTGTCATTGCAGCTATTAATAAAAATTAAAGTAATTCACAACAGGTGTATTTTATTGTTGCAAACGATGCCTAAATTGTACTTCAATTTTGGATTTGCGGAATTTAATACCTCGATAGGTACAAATTTCAGTTCAAGTAAATGGTAAAAGTAAAGTCTCCCACAAAGTCTGGTTTTATTTTCTTGTATGACAAAACTTGGTTAAAACATTTTTGACAGATCTGATATGAACTTTATTTCCATATTGCCCCGATAGAGCCCGAGGTCTTTAGGTAAGGAATGCAACATGAATCAAGTCAAATCTTAAAAAAATTGTTTAAAACCGTGAACTTTGTAAACGTTTAAAATTTTAACTGCTAAAAAATAATTATAAGTGATCACGATGTTTTTAAATTTAATTAGGCTTAATGTAAAGTAACTAAAACTGCTAAAAAAGGAAAATAAAGTTGATTACATAATTCCCGTTACTCGTACAGCAAAAGGGTAAATTAAATTTGTCGGAAGGTATGTAACAGCTAGAAGGAAGAGTTTCCTACCCCATAAAGAATATATATTATTGATTGCGATCACTAGTCGAGTCGATCTAGTCGTGTCAGTCTGTATGAACGCTGAAATCTCGGACTTCCTCGGGCCACAACGACCGTCACGCTAAACTTTTCTGAAATGTAAATTGAATTTTGTTCTTATTATCAATACCCGTTTTCATTCCAAAAATAATTCAAATCGGACCATTCATTAAAAAGTTATAGGCAAATACGATAGGTGGCATGTTTTTGAGGTGAGCAATCTCGGAAACAGCCGATTTGCTGCATGCAAATCTCCATCTCTCCCGCATTCCTTTAGCTGAGTAAAGGGTATCTTAATAAAGGGTATGCTAGATTCGAAAGAGTTTTCGATCTCAAAAGTGAGCCAAGAGTCTTCTCGGTTTGCGAACGGAATTTTCAACATCGAATCGATCTCGATTTCAAGAAGAACCGTTTTCGGTTTCAATATCGCATCGATCTCGATTTCGAGAAGAACAGTTCTTGGTTTCAACATCACATCGATCTCGCTCCCAGAATCCATTCTCAATAAAAATACTAAATTATTTCAACCTTTACTTTCTACCGAACTTATACAATTATTTATCAATGTCACAGACTTCCATCCATGGATCAAAGAAATGCATTAACGATTGTATGTCAACTACTGCCACCTGAAAATAGGAACACATTGCGTTCTCTGTTAAGATTTTTAAACAATATTATTGACTTGAAAGATATAAACAAATGGACCTGCATAACGTATCTACAATAATTGCTCCATCATTTTTTCCACCACGATTTATTCACCCGAGTGACAGAACCAGCATTGCTGAGCAAGTAAAAGTGGCTGCACATTGTTGCCGTTTGACGAAAGTTTTAATCTTGCATGGTGATAAACTTTTTCGAGTACCAAATAATCTAATTATAGAATCCAAGACTAAGAAAACGAGAATGGTATGTTTTGATCTTGATTTATAATTTCAGTTTAAGGACATTGTGTTTTTATAGGCTAAAAAAGAATGGCTTCGGCGAGATAGTCTCAATAAATGAAAGAACACCTAATACAATTCGAATCAATACCTGTAATGCAGCGGTCGGCAGCTCAGCCTCAGCGGGACACGTACATCGTAGAACAGCAGCCGTCCCACACACAACAATAAGCTGTCCCGTGCAACTTACTCACACATTTAAAGAATAAAATGTCATGGCATTTCGTGCCGGCCACTGCTTTATTGGCAACGGTCCTGTCATTGCAGCTATTAATAAAAATTAAAGTAATTCACAACAGGTGTATTTTATTGTTGCAAACGATGCCTAAATTGTACTTCAGTTTTGAAATTGCCGAATTTTTTTAGAAAAACAAGAATGCACGAAATGCATAATTTTCGTATTTAATACCTCGATAGGTACAAATTTCAGTTCAAGTAAATGGTAAAAGTAAAGTCTCCCACAAAGTCTGGTTTTATTTTCTTGTATGACAAAACTTGGTTAAAACATTTTGACAGATCTGATATGAACTTTATTTCCATATTGCCCCGATAGAGCCCGACGTCTTTAGGTAAGGAATGCAACATGAATCAAGTCAAATCTTAAAAAAAATTGTTTTAAAAACCGTGAACTTTGTAAACGTTTAAAATTTTAACTGCTAAAAATAATTATAAGTGATCCCGATGTTCTTAAATTTAATTAGGTTTAATGTAAAGTAACTTAAACGGCTCAAAAAGGAAAATAAAGTTTGATTACATAATACCCGTTACTCGTGCATTCAAGAAAGCTGCCCAGTGGATTGTGTGGCAACCGTACCTTAGTAGGCGAAACGCCAAAAAGGACAAATACGGACCACCGCGCCGATAAACACAAGTACACAAAAAGAAAAACAAAGAAAATATTAAAAAAAAAAAAAGAAACGATCAACCCACAAAACGATGAGTCCCATACAATTTTTTTAATAAACCAAAAAAAGAAACAAATACTAATTATAATTTAATTTCAGAATAATAACCTGTAAGAAGAGAAAACGGAGTACAACCAAAAGACAAACAAAACAAGGAGGAAAATAATAAGGGTGAGTGAAACGTTTTTGCATAAGTTTCCCTTGTTACCAAAAAGAGAACAAAAAAATAAATTTTCAAAATTTCCAAAATAAAATAAATACTTGAAATCCCAATAAATTAAGCACTTGAAATTATTGACATTAAATTACCAAAAAGAGGAACAAAAAAATAAATTTTCAAAAAAACCTGTTGCTTATTTCCCCACATCGGCCCAAAATAAAAATAAACACTTGAAATCCCAATAAATTAAGCACTTGAAATTATTGATATTAAAATAGAGGAAATGAAGGAGGTACTAAACCGACTTGACTCCGCCATTGCGGCCCGAACCACTCAGATGGTGGGCATGAAAGACTAGGTTAAGAAAATAGGGAATAGGGAGAGAACTTTTAGGAACTACCATTAACGCGTCCGCGTACGGAGTATGAATTAAAAGAATCTTCGACCGTGCCGGATTGCGTAAGGGAATTACTGACCTTCGAGGGTGATTCCGAGAAGTACATTTCTTGGATCAATAGGTCATTCGGGAGAAACCCCTATATAGGTCAGTCCTTATCCAGATTAGCCAGAAAATTAGGGGCAACGCCGACATGACGGCTCAATGCCTACAATGTACGGGATGACGACTGGCCTGAAATCAAACGAGTATTGGCACTACACTTCGCCGATAAAAGAGATGTCGGTACGCTAGAGTACGAGCCGACACAAATGTCCCAGGGGAAACCAAAAGGTGGAAGATTTTACCTTAGGATTAATAATTATGTCTCACTAATAATGAATAAAATAAAAAGCATGAATTACTCTACGGAGATAACGAATGCTTTCCTTGCCGGACAAAGGGACAAGGCTCTTAGTGCCTTTATTAGGGGATTAAACGGCGACGCTTCCAGGCTTCTAATAATCGTAAGCCTGCGGACGTCCACGAAGCTTACTCTATTTGCCTAGAGCTACAGAAAATGGAGCCGAGGAACCCTAGTCAAGGGCGCGTCTATTTAAACAAACTTTAACTAAACCTATCAGAACTATAGACCACCTAACCCACCGAGGTTCCCCAGACCTATCAGTTTAAACAATAGGGCCCAAAAGAGTTCACGGCACAACTTTGCTCCAAGTGGAAGCGTGCAGGGCTCTCCAAGATTCCAGCGATTAAACAAGAATCAAACCAATCAGGTCAAAGCTATAGGACAAATTTAACTCGCGTGAAGGAGAGACCGGCGGCATCAAGAGCCCGAGCGCCTAACTCTAATTTGAATCCCTTCCTTAAAGCCAAAGGCTTTACCATATTCAATCCACCACATCATCAAACCCCACTCCCAATGAATACTATGAACGGCATCCCAATAACGAGGTAGAGGAACTGGAGGTCTCATCCCAAGGGATAGAACATTGTTCTCCCTTGGAGGAAGTAGGGTGTATTAGCGGTGGCGAACCAAATTTAATGACCGACGCCTCTCTAGCATACCATAAATAGAATATGAAACTAAAAAGGGGCTAAATTACAATTTCTCATAGACACCGGCGCTAACAATATTTTATTAGCCTCAAGAATCCGCCGGCTGTACAACATTATCCACGCCATTTGTCGTTCAATCCGCGGGGGGTAATATTAAAATAACGCACCGTATTACTGGACAATTTGGTAACGATACTGTTCTCATCTTTTTTGTTCTTCCCGGACTAAATCATTGACGGCATTATAGGAGACGACACCCTAAAAACCTTAAAGGCCCTGATAGACAGAAAAAACGATATCTTTACAATATCAACATGTATCAAAATACCCCTCCTTGCAAAAAAATCTCTAAATGTACATCTGTTATTAGATGCAAAACACCCCGAATCTGCAAAATAAGCTTTAAAACGCGCTTATCAGCGAATATTTCAAAATCTTTGAACCACTCTCGCCCGGAGAGGCCGTAGACACGAGCGTTAGGCCCGAGATTCGCACCAGCACCTCAGACCCCATATACACAAAGAGCTATCCCTACCCTACCATATGAGAGGGGAAGTGGATAGACAGATAGAGGAACTTTTGCGGGATGAGATCATCAAACCATCAAAAAGTCCCTATTACTCCCCGGTCTGGGTAGTTCCAAAGAAACCCAAAAACTAATGGAGAGAAACAATACCGCATGTTCATCGACTTTAAGCGTTAAACGCTGTCACGATTGCAGACACTTATCCAATACCGGACATTAATTCTATTTGGCCAGCCTAGGGATGGCCAAATATTTTACCACTCTCGACTTAACCTCGGGATTCCATCAAATTTACATGTTGGAATCCGATACCCCAAAGACAGCATTTTCTACACTGAATGGGAAGTACGAATTTCTCGTCTTCCGTTTGGGTTGAAAAGTGCCCCAGCAGCATTTCAAAGAATGATCGACGATGTATAAAGGAACACATTGGCAAGATTTGCTATGTGTACATCGACGACATAATAATCTTTAGTGAGGACTATGATAGCCACTGGTAAAACCTCCGCGCTGTCTTCAACAACCTGGAGAAAGCCAAACTGCAGGTCAACTTAGAAAAAACTAATTTCCTATCAACGCATGTTGAATTTTTAGGATATGTAGTAACTGCAGATGGCATCGAAGCAGACGACAAAAAAAGTGGAGGGCATCACCAAAATGAAACCACCTACCAATTTAAAGGAACTAAAGAGTTTCCTCGGCATGACATCCTATTATACGAAATTTATTAAGGACTATGCAAAAGTTGCAAACCACTGACTAACTTAACTCTTCACAATCAAAAATGTCCCATTGAACTCGACGAGGCCGCGATGAAAGCCTTCAATGATTTGAAAACTGTCCTTTCATCCTCAGAGGAATTGGCATTTCCAAATTTTTCCAAACCCTTCCACTTAACCACAGACGCGTCAAACTACGCTATCGGAGCAGTTCTTTCTCAAGTGGACTCTGGCAAAGATCGACCAATAGCGTATATCTCCCGATCTTTGAGTCAGACAGAAGAGAACTACGGCACCAACAAAAAAGAGGTGCTCGCGATAGTGTGGGCCTTAGATAACCTTCGTTCATATTTGTATGGTGCTGGATCTATTAAGATTTACACTGATCACCAGCCTTTAACACTTTCACTGGGCAATAGAAAATTGAACGCCAAGTTAAAACGCTGGAAGTCCCGTATTGAGGAGGTACAATTGCGAATTAATATGCAAACCAGGGAAGTCAAATTATAGTGGCGATGCCCTTTCAAGAGTTACAACGTATGTTGATCACCTGGGCCCTGACAATGATGCCGCCTCCGAATCGGATTCCATAGCTACGGTTCATAGCGCTCTTCAAGACGCCTCTTGTTTAATTCCCCATGTTGAAACCCCTATTAACGCTACCGGAATCAATTGATTTTTTATTTAGACCTGTCCGATTATTCGTGTGGACACCCACATACTGGATATGTGCGCCACTCAATTCCAATTTTGATCACGCCCCTTCAACTCTTCTAACTTATTAAAGAAATACTTGAAACCTTCGGTAATCAATGGAATTAAAATCCCGGATGATTACCTACAACTCCTTCAAACCTGTTGCTTCCAGAATTTAAAATTGTATAAAATCCGTATAACACAGCGTTAGTAGAGGATATTACGGACGAAGAGCAAATTTGCGAAGCCATCGAGAAAGAACGTCGCAGAGCTCATAGAAACTCAAAAGAGGTCCGTATTCAATCCTTACAATATATAAATTCATTTAAAAACCATAAAGGGAAATGCGTACTGAACTTTCACTAATCTTAACCTTCTTCAAACATAAACAAATAAAACCGTTTAATATCCCCCAAATATAATTAAGAAAAACCTAGTCTAAGATAAACACTTATTGAAATGAAAAATATAAACCCCTCAGAAAAGGGGAACAAGAAATTCTTTAGTAATAGCTATACACAAATTAAAATAAACACACAAGTATAATAATAGTACAAAAATAATGACAATACAAAAAGATGATAATATCAAAATAATAACAATACGAAAATAATAATAATACACACACAAAAAAAACACCAACACAAACATTAAGATTAAGACAAATAGACAATTTAATTATAAGAATCTACAATTTCATGTACATTTAATTCTCTTCTGACGCTACAAGCGCGTCTACAATCTACGTGGCGACAACCCTCCATATTTTCAAGCATAATGCACCGGTTGTCCCCTTACAACAAGGTACCGTTGAAGGACCAAAGGCGTCTTCAAACT